CTTGGTGCCGTATGTTTGGATGTAGATTTAATAATACTTTAATAATAATGCTGCATCCAGCATCCTTCTTCACACCATCATATTCACCACAAGGTTCTGCAGGTAATGACTGAGCAGGTGTCTCGGTCTCTGAGGGCTCAACCTCCTCGTATGAGATCCAGAACCAGACTCGTCTATTGTGACCGAGTCGTTGACCATCTCTGACTCGTGCGTTTGAACTATCGCAGTTGTCTCTTTTATCTTTTATCAAAGCGCATCGATTCCCAACGGAAGACCTGAAGAATCCAAACAGGCCTTCTGGACCTACGGCCATGAAAACCTTTTGGTTTGTAAGGTATTCAAAGCAACAAAAAACCTCTTCATGCATTTTCTCCCCATGTTCCAACACATCTGATAGAATTCTCCCTCTTCGTCTTCATCGTCCACATTCACATCGGTTGCAGGTGATTTGTTGTCGGCAAACAACGCTGAGTAGTTGAACTTGAAGTGAATTGGCAGCGCACTTTTTGTCTTAGGACAGGGGACATCCGTAGACGTCACCAGGTTCCAGATGTTCTCTGCCTTATCCTCGCCAAAGATTGAGAGCAGAGAATCGAGCACACCCTGCTGTGATTTGGGGAGTTGTTCTGAAGCAACCGGAGCTATGAAGCACAGGGCGTCAATATCACTCACACCATGGTCTGCAGCGAAGAGTTCACATAGATGACGAATCATCTCCTCGCCTCTCTCTGCGTCTTCTGTTTCTGCGAAGCTTGGAGTGTCAATGATGGTCAGAGAGTGATCGATTTTAAATCCCTCCTGGTGGTGGATTTTGTAGACGGTGACTTCAGAGGTCTGGCTTTCAGCTTGAGATCTGGACCGATCATCTTCAACCAACTGAAATCTGAAGGAGTCCTTCCACTCCACACCAACCAGGTAGTTGATCATCCCATTGATCAGAGTAGACTTTCCTGAGCCCGTCGCTCCGAAGAGAATAATAGTGCGATTTTGCCTCATGCTTTCTTGACCAAAAGTGATTTTAGTGCATCCGTCTATGTTCACATCTTCTTTCTTCAGTGTCAGTTTGTAAACTGACGGAGATCCAGAATGAATCTTTAGGCTCGTTCTTTTGAGGTGTTCTGGGAGAGGTCTAAATTTTGTTGTGCAGACTTTAACAGTGACGCTTTCTTTGCTTCTGTCGGCTGCACCGCAATCACATCGGACCCTGACGACATATTCCGTCTCTGCCTGAAGCCCTGAAATGACGGCCTTTTCAGCCGTTGACATCATTTGGTTCCATCGGAGATCTTCCTCTTTCACCCCGTCTTTGGTCTCTGCGTACTCCACCATGTAGGTCAGAATGAGGACATCTTGTCCGAGCTCAGCAGGTTTCTCCCAGCTGACTGATGCCTCTGTTGAATTGGGTTCAACCTGAGGTTTCCCAGGAGGGCTGCAGGGTAAGGTCCTAATGGAACCACTGACTTCATTGGCTGGTCCAACACCTGCTGAGGTCACCGCTCTGCATCTGAACACATACTCGGTGTTAGGACTCAGACCGCTCACTGGGACTTCTTCATCTCTGGATGCTGCCTTCTGTTTCCATCCATCTTCTCCACTGACACAGTACTCAACAGAGTAGGAGGTGATGTTCTCTGCTCCAAATCTGGGTGGAGACACCTTCAGCGTCACACTGTTGTGGTTTATGTCGCTTACTGTTAACGTTTCAGGCCTTGAAGGAGGCTCAAAGTTCTCACTGACAGAAAAGCCGTCTTTATAAAGGTAGATGCTTGAACCTTTCTGTGCCTCATTTTCTAATCCCAAGGTCAAGAACTTAATGTTCTTGTTCTCCTTGTTGGCCACTGCAAAATCACTGAAGAGCTTCACTTTGAGCCTCAATGTATCTGCTATTTTGTTGGAGAGGAACCATTGTTCCTTCTCTATATCTTGAGTGTGTGTATCTTGAGGGTTCTCTTCTGGTTGTCTTAAGTAGCTTGATAACGTTGAGAGGTACGAGTCAGGACTTCCTAGTGAGGTGAAGACAAAGCACATCACATGTTCTGAACGGAAAATTTCTTTGTACAGATCATTTTGAGATGTAACGATCTTTGTGTTTTTCATGATGTTGGTGAAAGACTTCAACGTGTGGATTTCTCTCTCTTTACATTCAATCCACTCGTTGAGCTTTTTGCTGTTGAAAGGAGAAGAATGTCTTTTCTTCAGGATGTCAGTGAGCACAGCTTCCTCTTCTCCTCCTCCTCGGATTGATGGAAGTTTCTTTGCCAAAGTTTGTTGGAGATCCTGTCTGGACTCAGAGCACATCTCTTTAAAGGTTTTGATCTTTTTTCCAATCTGTGGGAACTTCTGTGCAGTGGTGTTGTTCAACGCATCATTGCACCTCATTTCCAGCTCACTGAAGTCCTCGAGGACGCTTTGGGATTCCTGAACTAATCGTATACTAATCTGACGAACAAGTCTAGCAGCATTAGAATCTAAACCTGCCAGCGGCAGCAGCCAGACCGTCATTGGTACGGCGTTCTCTCCGTTGGCTCCCAGCAGTCTTGGCAGACTCTGGTAGACTTTTACTGCCTCACTGAAGGACACAGGGTTCTCTTCAAGGGAAAAGTCTCCGTGGAATTTGCAGGAGAATTTGTCAACTTTCTTTTTGTCCTTTTCCTCCATCTTCAGGGAACCTTCACCTTCTATCTTAATGCTGGGGAACTTATCGATCATGACCTTTAGGTCACCCTGAATGTCTTGATGATTCTCATCTTCAGACACGTCACGGTCAAAGATGAAGAAGGCTTGTGCCCCGTAAAGAATAGCTGTGACTACATGGGTTGCTAATCCTTTGTCAAAGACGTACGGATACTTTACATTGTCACTTGCTAGATGGTTCATGGACAGTTCCTGGACCTTTGTGGTAGCTTTGTAGTTCAGAGTTACTCTGGCCTGGTTTCTGGAGGTCTTGGTGTCGTTCAGGTATTTGGCGGATCCTCCAACCTCCACCAGTCCACTGAAGAAACTGGCCTTTAGCGATGCGTTTACATTTAGTGCTGCAGATTTATCTGCAATAGATTCGGATGCGACTATCTCAAATCCATTATAGTTCTTTGGTCTTTCACCAATATGAGTTTTCAGGGCTTCGCGGTCCCACAATGTCATTCCTGCAAAAGAAAGAGCAGAAATCTACTTCAGCTTCGAGAATCAAGCCGGCCGGAGGGTTAGGGTTAGGGTTAGGGTTAGGGTTAGAAGGTGATCTTACGTCCTACCAGACTGATCTACATATCAGAGAACATTGATGAATCTGACTTTATACTGAATGTTTAGTTATAATACATTAAGTATCATGACATCTACATACTTACCGGGGACGAGTAAGTCTTTGCGGCAGTCGTACAACATCCCGAGACTGAAAGGTCGGCCGAGTGCGGCGACCTCCATCGTGGCTTCAGAGTCCATCGTCCAGCCTGAACCGGATGGAGAGACCAGTTAGTCGCTTCTCTGACTAAAGGGACAATATCAGAGTTCAGCAGGAGAGGAAATGGTTTAAAGTCCGTAGCTCTGGTCACTACTTTATGGCTTCATGTCCTCACTGGTAACTCGCAGAAAGACGATAGCAGAGACTCTCACAATCACTTCCTGTTGAGCAGCAGAAGGACGTGTTTAAAATAACTCCCCCGCTTGGAAATCAAGCGCTCTGAATGAAACCGTAAGAAGACCACGTAATGTGATGTAATGTAAGAGCAGTGAGCTTAAAGTCCACTCATGCTTCACACGTCATTGGAATGAAACAAACACAAAGAGCCCAAAGGTGGTTTTTCCCTTTCAGATCTCTACAATTATGAGTTGTGCATATTAAAATAATATAAAACCCTAAATATCTCTTCACTGAGTTTTCATCTATGATTTATGTTGATAAGTGTCGTGTTCTAAAAATGAAGCAACTCTGGATCATCTTGGATCGAATAGTTGAACCAGTATTTACTAGACAGGCCGTGAACATCTGTGATCCACAGACCTCAGAGAAGTTCAATGACTGTCGGCTTCCACCAACGGATCCAGAACAAAGAGAGAATGCAGTATTTCCACAGATCAGTAAAGGTGTGGAAGGTCCATGAGCACGTGACGTCTCCTGGTGCGTTCAAGGGGACTAGTTCACAGAATATGCTGGTGCAATGGGGTATTTACCCTTGGTGGTGCGTTCAATGTAACTCGGATTTTGAATGTCTCGGGCCAACGTAAGCGGTGCTATCAAGTATCCATGCATGCATGTAGTTGATTACATTACATTGAATACAATCATAGCTGTGCATCGCTATTATTCTATTAACCAGCGTTTGAAAATGACAGTTTATTTACAGCATAGTTCCAGAACGATGGCTGTACACTGGTTTACACTGAATGCGTTTAAGTTAGTTCATAACATCCTAAATGAGACACAACAAAGAACTTATTGCTTTTCTTATATTGTGGGACGGCACATAACAAGACGCAACGATTTAAAGCAGTCAAACAGTGTTTGTATCTTCTCAAGATGCACTAAAGAAACATGAACACAGATTAAACATCTTCAGTATCATAGAAACATGAAACGCGTCTAAAGCTTCTTACCTCTCAGTGAGTCTCTGAGGCAGGAAGAGGTCTGCTGCTGCTTTTATACACACACACACACACACACACACACGCCCTCACACACACACACACACACACACGCCCTCACACACACACACACACACACTCTCGCATGCTTCTGATAAGTGAGACCATTTCCAAGAAGCTGCTCCCTGTGAAAATGAAAGTAAGTTGTTTCAGTTGCCGACAAACATTGTTCGATACTCAAACCACATTTTCAAAACTCTTCACACATTCAGCGACACACAAGTTCACGCACACCAAACTGTGGATCATGTTTCATTGCTTTTACACAAATGCATTAAATCACCATGTTTCAGTAAAAGGCGACGGATTTGTTGGTAAATCTGTATCACAGAAGACGGTCGTGGGGAAGAGGAGCGACATGAGGAGGACAAAGGAGACGAAGACCAGGATGTGATGAGACGTGAACGTGGTCTCACTGTGAGAAGCCCGTCTGAGGCCTCATGTCGGATCGACTAATGATCGACTAAACGTTCCTGTTGAAAGAGAACGTGTGTTCTGTAGAAAGGGTGTAATGTTATGTGTGTTTGTGTTATGACAAAGTTCATCCGAGCCGGACCTGGACCCTCTCAGCCGGACCTGGACCCTCTCATCCGGACCTGGACCCTCTGAGCCAGTTAGACCATCATGTGTCGTTATTTTGGTTTTGATGTTTACTGTCAGGGATGCGGGGAAGGCAGGACTCAAACGCAGACTTTGAGAAAACAAAAGACTTTTGTAGTCAAAAGGCAAAAAGGCCAAGGGGCAAAAACGCACACAGGAACCGGGGCAAAAGGCAGGAACATCCAGAACAGTCGACAATGACGCGACAAGTGACAGGAGACACACACGGCTTAAATACACCAGGGAGGTGCAGGTGATTGGACACAGGTGGAAACAATCAGACAATCACAGGGGATGACGGGACCAGGCAGGAAGTGAAGTTACCCAGGGCGACAAGAAGCAGAAACTACAAAATTAAACCAAACCGTGACATTTACTGCGTTGTGAGCGACGCTGTATGAAGTTCGCTGTTCCGCATCATTTCCTTCTCTCTTTTGATTTATTTCTGTGTGTTTATGTGATGTGATGTACGTGTCACCAGCAGGACACTCGGCTGTTGCTGCAAATTATTTGTATTGATTTCACGAAGGTTTGTTTGGATTATTTTAGCATGTTAACCCACATTTTATTTGCGGTCAATAATGACGTGCAGCTGGAGGGACTTCATTGGTTACAGGGAACTCTGGCACTGAAGCAACTGGCCAATAGCGTTGCAGAATGACAGGACCGCCCCGCCCCAATCACCACATCTGCTATTAAAGAGCATGAAGCACAGCAGAGGAACAGCAGCAACTAGAGAGAAGAGCCGGACGGAGCGGAGCTGGCTTCTTACCTGGAGAACTCGGTTCATTTATTTTAGTTCTTTTTACAGCTGGACTTTTAATATAATTGCAGTTATTTTATAGTATTTTATGTTTTTTTTAGTTAATAATAAAAGCATCTTTTAACCTCGCTTTTATGTCTCGTGATCCATGCTGGTATAAAAGAACCGGTTTAGTCTCCTCAACTAGGTGGTGTTGCTAGTAACTTTTAATTGCTATTTTATATAAATTTGTATTTGATTTGCATTGCTAGTTTTTGAGTCCTCCTCACAGGGCTGACATGCTCTCAATACGCCGTCCGTCCACACGCGCACAGCTACAGACAGACGTGTACGTGAGGAACACGCGCCGCCTGCTAGGAACACGCGCCGCCTGCTAGCAACACGCACCGCTATGTGGTCAGTAGCTTAGCTTCCAGCTAGCTCCCTTCCTTATCTCACACACACACGCACACACACACGCACACACACACACACACACACACTTTATCTTAATGATTATTGATGTCAATGATTTAATTTCACACTAGCTATTAAAACAATGCCCCTAAACGCCGCGGCCAACACTCGTTATCTGAGAGAAAATAACATAAAAACATGCGTATCAGGTTCATTTACTGTTTTTTTATAAAAAGTTTATAATGAGCCCACATGGCGCCTCTGGAACACACACTCCCTAAAGAGGTGTGTGTGTGTGGGGGGGCTGCTGCTTTCACGCCATCTGTTGCTAGGCGAGCCCCTGGTTGCTGCGGCAACGAGTAGGCCCGAAATGCTCTGGTGCGCGTGGGGGTCTATCGGGAGTCCATTGTGTTTATGTACACATTAAAGTGTAAACATGTCATTCCTAAGTATATTCTAGAGTTTCAATATGATCGATATCTTCAGTAAAAGACGCACAAAACGAGTTCATATTGCCACACTGTATTCATTCATCTATTTGTGCCACTATTGTTTATATTTTGGGATATAGTCACTAAACATTTTCACATTTCTACCCGTCAGTTCTCTTCATACTTGAAGTAGTTGAATTGAATGAATTAGAAAGTTTGTGCTCAGAAAACACGTCACGTGAGGACAGTTTAAAAGATCAGGAACACGTAGAAAACCAACAGGATCCTGAGAAATAAATGCATCTTTAAAATAATAAGAAATAAGAAAATAAAACACTCAGTCTGTCCACAAGGGGGCAGCAGAGGACCACGGAGACCAGATCCCTCCGTAGACCAGATCCTCCCAGAGACCAGATCCCTCCGTAGACCAGATCCCCCCAGAGACCAGATCCCTCCGTAGGACCAGATCCCCCCCAGAGACCAGATCCCTCCGTAGACCAGATTCTCCCAGAGACCAGATCCCTCCGTAGACCAGATCCCCCCAGAGACCAGATCCTGCTGTAGACCAGATCCTCCCAGAGACCAGATCCCCCCAGAGACCAGATCCCTTCGTAAACCAGATCCCTCCGTAGACCATATCCCCCCAGGGAGACCAGATCCCTCCATAGACCAGATCCCCCCAGAGACCAGATCCCTCCGTAGATCAGATCCCCCCCAGAGACCAGATCCCCCCAGAGACCAGATCCCTCCGCAGACCAGATCCCCCCAGAGACCAGATCCCTCCGCAGACCAGATCCCTCCGTAGCCAGCAGAGGGACACACACGCAGGTTTCACTCATTCAAAAATATGTAATAATACTAGAAATGTGGGGAAACGATTTCAAAGTTGCGATTCATAGTAGATTGAAGTCAGTGTTTTGCCCCCCGTTATTTAAAAAGTACTAATATATGAACAAAGTGCAATAACCTTTGATATGCAAACACTTTAAACAAATAATTTGATTTCTAAGCAGTATTCCTCTTAACACAGAAGCAGCTAAAACATTTCTTGTAAATCAAAATTCAAAGTAATCAAATTCAATATAAAAGCAAAGCATTTGTTCTAGTTTGTTATAGAAAAACAAACCTTCTGAGCAACTGCCGAGCAGCCGCCTTAGGCCCGCCCACAAGGCTCTCATTGGTTGAAAATCCTGATGACGCCACAAAGGTTAAATTATTGTTGACTTTCGATGATTAATGATAAAATAAAAAAACATGCAACTATGAGACTGAACGCAAATGAGATAATTGAATGTACTTTAGGGATATTTATTGATCACTGTATTGGCAGTATTTCTGTTTCAGCTGCATCATATGATTTTCTCTTTCAAACAAAGTGAATCTTGTTCAGCTGCTCACAGGCGACCTCCTGCAGGGCCACGGCCCTCAGGTTAGGAACCCCTGGTTTCATCAAGAAGCTCAATGTTCAAAAGTTTTTAAAGTACCCTTTTAAATACGAGGACAAAACAAGCAGAGATACAAAGTACAACTCACAAAATAAAAGTCCGGTTTATTGTCAAACAACAAACTTTGCACATACATCAAAACAGGCCGTCATAAAACAAAAGGAAAAGCAGGAAAAAGAAAAGAGGCTCTTCTCTTTGGCCTTCAGCCTCCCATACAAACAACTAGTTATGGTACAGCTAAAGTACATACATTAAATTTACTGGAATGCTCTGAGTTCAACGGCTTTAAGAGGTTTGTTTTCTTTTGAGATATCGTAACGTGGTCAACCAAGTTAAATCTTTCCTTAAAGAAGCACCGATTTGGTCTGACGAGATCGCTGCCGAGGGGGAAATCGACCCCCCCTAACAATATGTACAAAAATATAAAATGTAAATAAAAATACAAACAAATTCTCCTTTTCGTGTTGTTGTTGTTGAAGAAAAGCCGGATTTCTGCGTCGATGCGTTGGCGGGTTCTTCTAGAAAAATGAGTTGAGCGTTTCGATGTTGAACTCTACTTTCTAATGACCATGTGGGGGTTTTATTTCATTTTTTATTATTATTTTCTCCTTTTAAATCAGTCCTCCGGGCCCTCCACCCGTGGCACATAAAAACCGTCACAGGTGGAGAACCAGGAAGTGGTTCAGCAGGACGGGGGGGCGGGGGCACATCAATCATCGTCGTCGGTTTTCTGCTTCTTGGTTTCAACGTCGTCCTGAAAGAAGCAGAAGAAGAAAATTAGTGAGGTCAGAGGCGAGGTCGTGACCTTATTGGTTGGGGGGCGGCGCCTAACCTCGTCCTCGTCGTCATCGTCATCGGCTGCCCGCTTTGTGCCGCCCTCGATCTCGTCGTCGTCGTCGTCTTCGTCCTCTTCGCCTGTGGCAGAAGAAGAATGAGACTCAGCGAGCTTTTAAACAGAACGCCACGTGAGACGTTACAGGTTTTTGTAGCTACCTTCTCCATCATCTTCCTCGTCCTCCTCGTCCACCTCCTCGTCCTCGTCCTCGTCGTCTACCTCGGGCTCGCCATTCTCGTTCTCCTGGAGACAACATTGACAGAGATGGAACCGGTGAGAAGCTGCGTGGAGCTCAGCGTCCTGCAGAAGACCACAGAAGAAGAAGAGGCTACCTTCCCGTTGGTGGCAGCATCTTTGCCGTTCTCCTTCTCCTCCACCAGCTTCTTCTCTTTCAGCTCCACATAGACATTCAATTTACTTTATATTCTATAAAAGAATAAGAAGTCGGCTCATTAATGATGCAGCAATTTCCTTTTTTGAATTCTTCTTATTGTTCATTACTTTGCGTTAGGGATGCCTGGTCCTCCGCTTCATCTCCTGATGCTGATCTCCGTATTTAAGTAAAAAATTGTTATTTACAATCGGATGTTTCCTCTTTTTTTTTTTTTTTTTTTCTTCCTAAATTTAAAATCTGTGCACTGTATTTTATAAAAGCCTCATTGCAACAACATTCATGAAGCCTTTTATGAAAACATTGTTTATTTC